AAAATTAATATAAATATATAAAAAAATTAATTAAAATTAATTAAGAATTATAAAATTACATTTTTAAATAAAGTATTGTGTTAAAAATTTATGTGAGAAGCACCGAGAGACGAACCAAGTCAAAGATATCTTTCTAGATCAAATAGAGCACAGGGAAATGCAATACCCTGGTTAAGTTGATTCCAGTTTTTGTTCCCGCTTAAGCACCTATTATCCTATGGAAGGTCAGGTTGATTGGAGTAGGCTCAAAGATCATTCTCTGCAACTTCCCTATGGAGTAGGCTCAAGTCCACTGCAAAATTTAATCTTGGTGCGCTTGTGGAGGAGGTTCACATTCCACAATTGAATTGCCAGAACTTGGAAAGCTGCAATTGCCATCAGTCTCAACAAAAGAAATTTGAGCGCAACAACAATATTCATTCATTAGGAAGCAATCTAAGCGCTAGGTGGAGGAGACTAAAATGTGGCCATGTAGGAGATTCCACTTCACATCTCTAAATTTTCATAGTTAGATAATAGGTCACGGTCATGGAGACAAGCAATGGCCATCTCTATCAGTCTACAGCAACAACTAAACTTAGAAAGCCTTCTAGATACCTATATTTTCCAGATGGTCTATTCCGTTCAGATCTTGAAGTACTTGTAACCGTATTCAGGGTTTGTCATACCCTCTTCCCAATCACCCATGCGTTGACCACCAAAAACTATTTGTTGAATGCCTAAATAACTGCCATCAACATTGGGAAATGGATCAGTGAGAGAAAAATCAAATTAAAAGGTAATGGTTAGTCAAGAATTGCATAATTAATCAAGGGAAAATTATCTACTTTGATTATTCACAATATTCTTTTATTTTATTTTCCTTTGGAACTTACTCCGAACTCAATACGGTCAAACAGTTGAGGAGTACATCAATGGAGAACAAGTCAGAAGTCCCAAGGTCTACCCTGTGGTGTACAAATATGAATTAGGCTCCATGGACAATAATAATCAATCCAGAACTAGATATAAAATAGAAAGTTCAGTTCAATCCTGAAATCATACCAGAGACGGCCCCAACTATCCTGAAACTCAATATCACTGATGTCATGGAAAGATGATGGCATCACTTTAAAACCCTGATCTGCATCATACAGGGGATTGCACTCCATTGATGAATTTGCCAACTGCCATCAATATGAAATTAACAGTGCCTCCTTCCTCTTTCACAGAAATAACTAAAATTAAAAGGAATACACTACTAATAACAAGAGAAGCAACAATTTTTCATCCCTAAAAATGTCACTTTAGGGCTGGACTACCAACAAGAGTGTCCTATGTTGAAAATTATAAAAGATTTGTAATATGGATGTCCACAATGAACTTATATTTTCTTTCTTGTTTTTTCCTGTTTTCCCCTTTCTATATTCTGACATAAATATTATTGGTTAATTAAAAATCATGTAAGAACTTAGAACCAGTTGAAAAAGGAAATTAAAAATTCTTGTAAATTCTACAATCACACATAAATTTCATCAAAAAAGTAAGCGAAAGTCATTTGCACAAACAATTCCAATCACAAATCTCTGATCCCAAATACCATGAATTCTCAAACACACATCTAATTCCACACCACAAGTCATTCAAATAGAATCCTTTCAGGTTAGCAACTAAGACGAACTTTGTGATTGTAAGATAAGCACTGTAGCCAACTTCAACTTTTTCCATAATGTTAACCAAAGTTATGACCATACTCATCATTGACACTAGCCTATTATCTGGCATGTATTTCACCAATCTCCAACACAAAAATAACCAACTCAAATAACTCAGTTATGAACATATTTGTCATTGACTGCCTATTAACTGGCATGTAATTTCTCTAATCTCCAACATACAAATAGCCAACTCAAATAAAAAAAAAAAAAAAAAAAAAACTTCTGAATGCTATTCAACAAATATGCAAAACTGGCATGTAAATATCATTCATGTATATACAATCTATGTATG